TTCACTGGGAATGACTTTTTATGTAACACAGACATCCATTTGTGCTGGGCTTTCACCTAAAAACAGTCTCCAAGGTGTGGGACTGGAGCAGATCCCTTTGTTCCATGCATTAATTCTTCTAATTACTCAATCAGCAACCCAGAGCATTTGTGTGGATGGTGGTTTTGATAAACTGGTGTCTAGGAAAGCATCAGGAGGTGTTAAGATTTTTTCTGTTGGTTGCCTCTGTTGGGAGGGGTCCCAGCAGATTCCCCCAGCCAGTCTCTGCTCCCAGCAGGGACAACGCTCCATGGGCAGAGCTCCTCCCAAGGGCTGGGCTGGGCAGAAAGGCTCTGGCTGCTGCTGGCTCCTGGGCAGAGCAAGGGCACTGCTCAGCCTTGTGCCCCACGCTGGGGGGCAGGGAGGAAGAGGTGGCACCTGCAGGGAGGAGCGGCCAGGAGAGGGGACCCCAAACTGGCCAGCGAGGGATTCCAGCCCAGGTAGGGCATGATGGAGCTGGGGGATCACGAGGGTCAAGGCTCTTCTGCAGTGGCTGGTGTCTGAGGACTCTGTCCTTTCTGGCTTATATCCAGCTCCATGTGTTCTTGAGTCCAGTTCCAGAACCCAGCTCCTGAATCCTGTTCCCATCTGGTGCTGAGTCCAGTCTGGGCCTTCCCCAGTGCTGCCCCACAGCACCAGTGGTGACAGTGACACCATTGCCATCAGGGGCTTGGCTTCCATACTGGGTTTGTCAATATTTGTGTATATTCCATTCCCTGATGATTATTTCCATCCAAGCTGTCTTAGTTCTCTCTCCCAGCCCATAATTCTCTCTCCCTTATTCCCTTTCCCTTCCCCTTTGGGAGGCAGAGGGGTTCACAGAGAGCATCTGTCACGTCTCTGGTGGCCAGCCCAGCCCCAGCCCTTGCCACTTTTCAATTGCTCCCCTGTATCACTGTGATAGAGCAAAGCTCAGCTCACGGGGACGGTGCAGCAGAGGGATGGCACAAGCTGAAATGTGCCTTTCTCTGCTCTTTGAGGTATGAAACAGGTTATTCCAGGGGAGCATAAATAATTCAGCATTCCTGAAATTCCTGCAGTAAAACATCACTTGATTTACTACTGTACATTTTCGTGTGCAGGGTGAAACAAGAGATTTTACCTTTATTTCTCAACGATAGGATCCTTATGATTTCATAAAGATCATGTGCTAGTCATGGAATCCAGCAAAGCAGAGCAGGTGCTTGCACCCCACACGTTGAATGCATCCATTCTGCATGTTAGGCTGGTGTATTTAACCAGCTGCTGTGTTGATTTACTGCTGAAATGCTGTGTTAGAAAGCTGAAGTCTACAGAGCTCCAAGGAAAATGAGGGAATTGCCCCTTGACAGGGCTGGAAGTTGGGTTGTTGTTTTCCTCTGCCAAATCTGGACAGCAGCAAAGACTTGCAGGCGTGTGGTGGGAAGAGTTGGCTCCTCAAGATACTTTGACAGATGAGGAAAAAGGGTTAGGTTTACAAATACACTTCAGGAGTCTTTTAGGGACTATCTGAAATCTTTGTTGTAGGGCTGTGAATCTTCTGAATTGCAGTTGTGTGAAAGCAGGATTGCTTTCCCCATCTGGAAGGCTCTGGGAGATGAGTGATCTGAGGTGATTGAAGCAAGAGGTGGTGATGAGTTGACTGACTTTACCCTCTGCCTGCTGTACATCTTCCTCTCAAGAACCAGTGAATCATTCCAGCAATCATCTTTGGGGCCAGAGATCACAGCAGTGATGGGGAGACTGGCTGCTCAGGCTTTTGAAGCCAGCAGCCTGGGTCTGGATTAACAGACTGGAGTTTCTGGAGAACAAAGCTGAGTCCTGCAGCTCGCTTGCCAAGCAAACTGTTCCCATGATGCTTTTTCTGGTTTTATCCTTTCATGTGAAGCACAAGTCATGGCAAAGGGCTTGATCCAAATGAAGGGCTTGATCCACATAGAAGCCATGGAAGGACCATCATTGACTGTGGTGAACTTGAGATCAGACCTTTGGTCTTTTCCTTGCTGTTTTTTCTGCAGGCCATTGGCTTTACAAGTTGAGGATCTTTGCAGTTAACACAAATTCTCTCATGCATGTGAGAAGGGAAGATCAGGGGGCCAGTGACAGCTGAGCACTGGGAAGGGATAGCAATTGGGTCAAACCTTGCCTGACCCAAGGGATGCAACTGAAACACAACATCTCCAGCAGTTTGCCAGGACCCCGGAAGTGAGCTGGATCTGGAAGAATTAGCCCATACTTAATAAAATGCCAGTCCTGGGTGCCTAGAAGTAAGTGACATACTGGATACTGGGTTCTCCAGACCTCCCAAATCTACCCGTGGTGCTCCAAGACACGTGCAGGTCTTTACATCTGCTTGGCAGATGACCAGGTGCCATTCTGGTCTTGTTCACCAGGAGCAGGTTAAAACAAAATCGCTCCATGAGCCTGAACAAAATGTTAATGGGACAATAAAAATTAGTCCAAGCCACTTCTGCTGAGTGCACAGAGGGTGGACCTCATGTGGTGTCCAACTGCTCAAGGTTAAAATCAATAATCTGCAGTTTTGCTGCTTAATCTTCCTGTTGCCGTGGGCTGCAGATGGACACAAACGTCAGCAAGCACAAAGCTGAGTATTCGGTGGCTGAGGGACCTGGAGTTGTTGAACTTGGAGAACAGGAGGCTCAGGGGAGACCTTCTGGCTCTCCACAACTCCCTGATTAAGAGGTTGGAGCAAGGTGGGTGTTGGTCAGTTCTCCCAAGGACAAAGTGACAAGAGGAAACAGCCTCAAGTTGCTCTAGGGTTTAGGTTTGTGTTGGAGCTGAGGAACAATTTCTTGCCCTTGAGGGTTGTCCAGGGCTGTGCCAGGCTGCCCAGGGCAGTGGTGGAGTCCCCACCCCTGGAGGGGTTTCCAAGCCGTGGAGATGTGGTGTGAGGGACACGGGGCAGTGTGGACCTGGCAGTGCTGGGGGATGGTTTGACTCGATGATCTTGAAGGTCTTTTCCAACCAAAACGATTCTCTGATTCGCTGATCCAGGGAAATTTGCAGCTCGTGGCCTCTGCCTTTGGCAAGAACTTCACACTTCGTTGGCTGTAAGGGCAGAGAGTGCTGCAGGTGGGTCCGTCCCTCAAACACACCACGTGTGGGCCAGCAGAACCAGGGGACGGGGTAAATGGAGAACTTTTCAGCAGG